CTCCCCCAGACAGCCCTCGCCATTAAAGACAGTAAACCAAACAGCCCCCCTCAAAGGGACCCCCACAGGGACAAAGGCGAGCCGGTCTCTCTCTACGACTGAACAGAAAGCATGAATGAGTGAGTGTGGAAGAGAGGGGATGAGAGAAACCCCAAAGCATTATGGATAAACGCAGTGTGCTCAGTCACTGAAGGGTGTACCATGTCAGGTTGCCAGGCAACAGGAAGAAAAGCACTCCAGCAGGGTCACTCCTGATTACAGAGTGTTTCTCATGTACACACACACACAAGGGTCACTCCTGATTACAGAGTGTTTCTCATGTACACACACACACACACACATTCAGTCTTGGGTCTATTGAAACGGAGAGTCTAGCAGTACTAGAAGGATGATTGCAGCAGTTAGTCTCACCGAGCATACTAAATATAGACCCTCTCCTGTTTGGGCTGTTATTACCTCTCTTTTACACCACCTTCTCCTTTTCACAGCAGAGATCTGTTTGTGATGCCTAGAGGCGTACATGTTCAAAAGATAATGGTTACATTGACTGTCAGCTATTCGTTATATTTGTATTATTTATGAATTATTGAATGGCACAGATATACAGACCGAAGACAAATGCCTGCATATTGACAAAAAAACATTTCCAAAATAAATGTCTTAGGCTTTTCAGTTACTGGCTTCCCAAAATGTGCTTTATTTTGGAAAACTACAGTGAATGTCTGCAAACTCTGCTCCGCTTCAGAAGAAATCAATTCATATTGCACATTCAAAACAAAAGGTAGTACATGTTTGCAAATCATAAGCATTTTAAAGTACCCCCCCCCAAAAAAAGTATGCATTTCTCTGCTGCAATTCTCTCTCGAAATGACATTTGCGATGTAGGCCTACTTTCAGAGTGTGTAATAACGAATATAATAAGTTTAACTTTGGAACAAAAAATATGATCTTTATTCTTTTGGCTTTTAAAATAACGTCACCATGTAGTTGGTTAATATAGTGCATGCAGTTTACTACCACACTACGAATGAAATATGACGACCACTGATTGCTTCATAAATTTTTATGTACATTTAAAACCAGGACCTGGCCTTCACATGTAGCACTGTGCAAAAAAATAAAATAAGTAAACAAAATAAATTAAGTAAAAATAAAGAACAAACAAAACAAAACCAATAACATGAGCTTGAAACTACTATTTACAATATAAACAATAAAGAGAATGAGAATAAAGCACATCGATGGTGGCCCCAGTACATACAGTCAAAACACACATATAGATCTCTCTCACATAAATAAGCTCTCATATTCTTTTTCTCTTTCACACTCACACCTCTCACACATCGATAACATGCACCCAAATGACAGTTTAAGTGGCGTGTAGAAGTGCTCCTCTACAGAGTTGAGTACAGAGGTGAGATACAGCGTGCCGTTATATACATACAAAATCATCACCACTAGTTCAACAGAAGAGCTCATGTCATAATCGCATTATTCAGCCGAACTCAGGGTGTTGCCCTGACAGACAGACATTGAACTTCAAAACGAGGAAAATTGTTTTTCAGAAGAGATCCACTGACAGGTTGACCTGCACCTATGCACGGAATGGTTTTAGATTTTGGAATATATATACGCATGTTTTTTTCTTTCTTTCCTTCTTTTTGTTCAAAATAATACGAGGAGGTGAGACATGTGGCTGTCTGGTACAGAGACATTCAGTAGGGTTACATTGCCGTTTCCTATCACGTTCACCAGTGAGTGTACATTCAGGCTTCCCGAAGTCTGTTAACATTACGGTAGTTTCACTGAGGGGTCAATATCTGTCTCGTCTCGTATATGCCTTCATATGGGGTGTACAACTTAATAGAACATTTAGGGTTCAACAAACAGCATTTGTTGCATAATATTGATTACCATTGAAAATAATTGCAACCCGCACCTTAAATAAGCTAAAATCAATGTTAGTGTGAGGCACTTATAAAAGAAGTAAACTGTGCCAACATCTGGAGGGTTTACAGGCCAAGATGTACAGCTTTTTTTGATAAAACACTTACATTTAATATTCTGTAAAAGGAAAAGGGGGAAAAACTACGAGTTGTGAAATTAAAAGTTGCCTAAATCGACATATTTGCACTATGTTTTCAATATTATTCCTGTGGATGTTGCCATTCCAGAACCATGTCGTTATGCACCTGGTATCAGGTAAAGACATAGACAACAACTTCTGTCTATGTCTGTTTTTGGTCATCGGAAATAATGAACAATAGGTAGAAGTTTATGTTCTTTTGAAGGCAACGGTCTGACAATCTATCGGTTTTTATACGTAGACTTGGCGTGAAGAAAAAAAAACATTCCAAATATAGGATGTGGATAATATAGGATATCTTTAAGATATAAATAAATAAAAACTCTGGTCATGTGGTACAACAACCTAGGAAATCGCATCACCTCTCTTCTTGGTGTCTGTGCAGATATTGTGCAAAAGTTATTGAGTTTACAGGCTTTAACAGGCGTTGTCACGACAACAGAGTTGAAAGATAACAGACAAGATTAGATAAGTGATTATATTAACACTATTACACTATTAACACAAATAATCTATAATATATAATCTATAATATAACATATAATGTTACAGTTTTGTGGTTCTGTTACACATGTGGCTGTAAACAGTGTGAATTTTCAGGTTTATTTGCTTGGCCTCTGTTACTTCCATTATAAGTGCCTTATAGTAACAAAAATGTCAATTGAGGTTAACATACACTGAACCCAGAACATTCATCAATGGGTTTGAGTCAAAAACATTTTGACAAATTCACTAACTGAGTTTGGCTCATTCTGCTATCAACAGTGGAAGATTGTGTTCAATTAATCAATTTCCGTGACTGTGTTCAGTAAGGCAGTGCATACATGGTCTACATCTTGATCCATAAATAATAAAAAAAACATTCTATGTGTGAAAGTCCTGATTGGGGAAGTCGTGGCCTAATGGTTAGAGAGTCGGACTCGTAACCCAAAGGTTGCAAATTCGAGTCTCAATTCCGGCAGGTGGATTGTAGGTGAGGGGAGTGAATGTACAGCGCTCTCTTCCACCTTCAATACCACGACTGAGGTGCCCTTGAGCAAGGCACCGAACCCCCAACTGCTCCCCGGGCGCCGCAGCATAAATGGCTGCCCACTGCTCCGGGTGTGTGTTCACGGCGTGTGTGTGTTCACTGCTGTGTGTGTGCACTTAGGATGGGTTAAACGCAGATTACTAATTCCTAGTATGGGTAACCATACTTGGCCACATGTCACGTCACTTTTACTTTTTCACTTTCATTAGTACAGTAGCATTCTGCTCTCAGCTTACTGAGCGATTGATTTTATAGCACTTGGAACCTACCGGTGAATATATATATATATATATATATATGTGTGTGTGTGTGTGTGTGTGTGTGGTTTGTTCTGTATTTGCTAACGCTAAAGTAAATGAGGTCCTGTTCAGATAATTCACTACCGGATATGATCGACATTCCCCAGCCCCTTCCACAGACGTGCCCTTAAATGTTCAGACAATCAAACCCATGAGTAGAAAAGTTCAACATGATTTAAAAAATGAGCTAACAAAAATGTGCAGGTATATAATACGCCATTCAATAAGAAAGACACCAGCGGTAGTGTTAGCACTAGCTACTGATGACTATAACAGTTTCTTTCAGTCCTCGGGATTGTGTAACAACACTCAAAACTAAAAGACAAACTCACACACCACTCTATACTTGCCATTTTGTTTCACACCAGCGTCCTTAGGGATTCAACAGTCATTCTCAAGCGTGTGTGTGTGTGTGTGTTCGTCGTGTCGACACTGGCACTGTCCTCGAATCAACGCTTTCCGTCAACACCATAAATGCACCCTAAGGCTAGCTCGGTGCACACGCACACAATAGTCTAGACACACGCACATACACACACTCCGCCTCACACACACTCAGTTTGGCATTAGTTCCAAAACCGCTTGAGGTGAATTGCACCCCAGTGCTCGCGCTCTGCTCTGTAAACAGTGTCTCAGTTGAAAAGAACAGTCTCTGTTTCAGTCCCTTGTTCATTTTTTTCTGTCTCTTGCATCTTTTGCTTTGTCCTCCTTCTCTCTCCTCTCTTTTTCATATTTGTCTTTCTCTGACTTGGCCACGCTGTTATAAGACGGTGGAGAGGCAGAGGACGGAGTCATATCTGTTTTGTCCGATGCAGAGTTCTCTTGAAACTTTCCAATGACAAGCACCTCTTTCTCCAGGATACGCACACCCCCATCCTGTAGCTGTTGTCGGTAGGCTTCAGAGGCCTTCTTTACCATTTGCCTTAAATGGTACCGTCGGAAGGCCCTCTGGATGATCACAGATGACATCTCCTCCTGTTTCCTGCGGAGGGTTGTCGTGATGGGCTCGTACGAGACTTTAGAGGGATTGGAGGCCATGAAACGATCTTCCATCTGTCCCCTCAGGGCATCCATCTCACCCTCCTCTCCCAGTACCCTCAGGGTAAAGGCAAACAGGATGTCCAGGCAGTGGATGCGGTCGCCACTGACCATGGGCAGGTCCATGGCTATGAGCTGGATCTTGTTTGGCTTGGGGATACGTAACGGAGGATCCAGAGCGTCCGCAAAGTCAGAAAGCTTGTTGTACTCCACGAACTGCGTGGCGTTGGGGTCGAATCGCTCCCAGACTTCGTAGAACATTTCAAAGTCGTCCTCGCTCAGCGGTTCAGCGCTCTCCTCTGTGGCTACGCTGAAGTTCTCCAAGATCACAGCGATGTACATGTTCACCACAATCAGGAAGCAGATGATGATGTAGCTCACAAAGAAGAAGATGCCGACCGAGGGGTTTCCACAGTCGCCGCGGTACATGCTGCCCGGATGCTCCAATCGACTGTCGCAATCTGGATCTTGCTTGTTCAGGATGGGTGCCAGGAGGCCATCCCATCCTGCAGAAGTGGTAATCTGGAACAAGCAAAGCATTGAGTTCCCGAATGTCTCAAAGTTAAACAAATCATCAATCCCCGCCTCATGCTTCACATAAGCAAAGTTGGACATTGCAAAAATGGCATAGATAAACATGACCAGGAACAGGAGGAGGCCAATATTGAACAAGGCAGGAAGTGACATCATCAAGGCAAACAGGAGTGTACGAATGCCTTTGGCTCCTTTGATGAGACGAAGAATGCGACCGATTCTGGCAAGTCGGATGACTCGGAATAAGGTTGGCGATACAAAATATTTCTCGATCATCTCAGAGAGGAACATGCCTGACAAAAAAACAAAACACAAGTCCAATAAGTGATCCCAGTAATCCCTGAATTTTCCACAATATTTAAGCTTAAAGGTGAATTATGCTCAAAGCATACTCTACTCAAATATAGTATAGCATTCCCAGCATTACATTAGCCTAAACTGTCTTCTTTGGCCACTTTTGTCTTTCAGATCAATTAAAGGATTAGTTCACTTCCAGAATAAAAATGTCCTGATAAGTTACTCACCCCAACGTCATCCAAGATGTTCATTTCTTTCTTTCTTCAGTCGAAAAAAAGTTTTTTGAGGCAATCATTCCAGGATTTTCTCCATATAGTGGACTTCAGTGGTGGCCAACGGCAGTTTCATTGCAGCTTCAAAGGGCTCTACACAATCCCAGCTGACGAATAAGGGTCTTATCTAGTGTAACGATTGGTCACTTTCTAAAAAGAATAAAAACGTATATACTTTTTAACCACAAATACTCGTCTTGCACTAGCTCAACTTCACGCATTACATAGTCACATTGGAAAGGTCACGCGTAGGTGGAAGTACCGACCCAGTGTTTACAAAGTGAATGTGCAAAGAAAGTCAAACGCCCTTTACAAAAAAAGGTAAAACAACAATGTTTTGAAGTTGGAGGAGAAAATGAGATGGAGTTTTTCACCCTACCCTACCTTTCTGAACCGGAGTACACAGACGAAGAGCTAACCGCACGTGACCTTTCCAACGCCATTACATAAATGTGTGAAGTCACGGACATGCATCGCAGAGCTAGTGCAAGACAAGCATTTGTGGTTAAAAAGTATATACATTTGTATTTTTTTTTTTAGAAAATGTCTGATTGTTTTGCTAGATAAGACCCTTATTCCTCTGCTACATTGACACTGCAGTTTGGACCTCCAACCCGTTAGGTCCCATTGAAGTCCACTATATGGAGACAAATCCTGGAATGTTTTCCTCAAAAACCTTAATTTTCGACTGAAGAAAGAAGGCCACGGAAATTTTGAATGACATGGGGGGGGGGGGGAGTAAATTACAGTATCAGGAAATTTTTATTCTGGATGTGAACTAATCCTTTAAGGTGTGGTCACATTGGCGAAATTTTGTGTGCAAAAAAGGTCCATTGTCTATTGTCACTGTAGCAATGTATGAAGCACAGCTCACACAGAAGTCACTTTCAAACCATGCAGCTTTCTGTTGGTCAGCACAGCGTTGGTAATCATTGTTACCAATTTTAATCCATTGTGAAATCTGTATGGGGAAATCTTTCACTCTCAAGTGAAATTCCAGTTCACAAAGATTCCAACAGAAATGACTGGATTTTGTCAGTGAAAATTCACAGAACAATAGTAAATATGACTGCACCTTTTCTGTTAAGAAGGAACAACATGTACGGAGTGTTTATAAAGTATGTTTCTGGCCTAAATCTTCAAAATGTTATTATAGTGTTATAATAGTAATAGTCTGTAGAGCTTCCAAGAATTTCTTACCAACAATTGAAAGAATCACCACTACGAAGTCAAACACATTCCAGCCAATGGTGAAGTAGTAGTGTCGTAGGGAGATCATCTTGAGAACAGATTCTCCAGTAAAGAGGATGATGAAAACCAGGTTTATCCAGTACAGAATATTGTCCATCTCCTTTGTCTGATCGTCGGTTTCCACCATCATGGTCACCATGTTCAAGCAGATCAGGATCATAATCACAATGTCGAAGGCTTGTTTGGTGATTACGTCAAAGATGAGGCCTTGAAACTTGTTCTAGAGTGAAGTACAGAGAAATTGGCATTATTGAAAAATGTTGTATTAGGGAGGGGCATTCTGAGTTATTTACATTGTTAAAGAGTTTGATTCTGATGCTAAACATGGCCAAATTTTCAAAAAACAAGTTGGAGGTATGTATTTCTTTGCCTAATACACTCCTTCCAGGTTCACATAAGTTTCAGAAAGTTTTTTTCGAGCATGGCCCTTCATGACGTCACGAAGGGCGGAATTCCTTGTATGGGCACTTCTCCCAGAAGAGCACATGCACACAGCAACCAGAGTGAGAGCAAGAGCAGCCCATCAACGTGCTTCTTTCATTTGAGTTACAGAAGCCATCGGGAGCGCTGCACAGGACTTGCTCGAGAAGAATGTCTCCAAAGAAGTGTGTTTTTGGATGTGAGGAAAAGATAACCTTGATTAGCTTCCCAAAGAACCCAGCGTTACGTCAACAGTGGATGCAGTTTGTTTTTCAGGGACAGCAACGGAGTTTCGCAAGTGTGTTTGTTTGTTCCCATCAAGGCACAGTTCAACGCTGGATTTACAGATCGTTTGATACTGAAAGATGGGGTGGTCCCAGCTATAAAAGATCCCCATCATGGGTCAGAACCGCAGGTGGTAAGTAAAACTGCATCAAATTTCTGTGTTTTGTTGGTAAGTGCTCGCGACTCTTTAGCTCATCCACGGCACGCCTCCAGAAGCTAATTTTTTTTCCGGAGAGAAGCATAAAGCTGTAGCTTTCTTTTATAAAATCTGATAAAGATTCTTCAGCAAAATTAAGGATGCAATACTACTCTATAGGTACTCAAGATTAACATGAGACTGGCAGAAACTGTGTGTGTTATGTCCCCTTTAAATATAATTAAAGTTCTTAGTGGTTAGGGGGAGTGAGCTGTGTGTCATACCGCAGGCCTGGGAATTGGCTTCTGAGGCTTTTTAGATCCCAGTTTCTTCATGGCGTTGTAATATTTCTTCTGTTCTTCTGTCATGAAGATATCCTGACCTCCTAGGTAAAGAGCAAATGCAGAAGGCTGGTTACAACCACGGTTTCATTATATGTAACAACACAAACATAATGCAAGCAGGCCTCTGTTTTTCAACTCTGAACTTCAGGAAATGTCAAAGAGGCAGTTCAGCCCAAACCAGGTCCTATTAATCTACCACTGTTTGTGCTTCATAAACAAAACCAGTTCAATACGTTACCATTGTGTGCTCACTAAACAAAGCCACAGACTGTGTACATATCACATTACATTGAAAGTAAACTGAACAAACACACAGTGGTTGATTTGAGATTGCACATTGTAATATGTACAATATTCCTTATCAGTTGTGAATTATGTCTTACATTTTATTAAGGTGTTTAAATTCACCTTCTTCAGTTTAAATACTTATCTTTTTCTTCTGCTGATTGAAGTTATCAATGATGACACCAATGAAGAGGTTAAGGGCGTAAGAAGGGATTGAACAGTCACATGCAGGCGTGTGTGTGTGTGTGTGTGTGTGTGTGTGTTCGTCGTGTCGACACTGGCACTGTCCTCGAATCAACGCTTTCCGTCAACACCATAAATGCACCCTAAGGCTAGCTCGGTGCACACGCACACAATAGTCTAGACACACGCACATACACACACTCCGCCTCACACACACTCAGTTTGGCATTAGTTCCAAAACCGCTTGAGGTGAATTGCACCCCAGTGCTCGCGCTCTGCTCTGTAAACAGTGTCTCAGTTGAAAAGAACAGTCTCTGTTTCAGTCCCTTGTTCATTTTTTTCTGTCTCTTGCATCTTTTGCTTTGTCCTCCTTCTCTCTCCTCTCTTTTTCATATTTGTCTTTCTCTGACTTGGCCACGCTGTTATAAGACGGTGGAGAGGCAGAGGACGGAGTCATATCTGTTTTGTCCGATGCAGAGTTCTCTTGAAACTTTCCAATGACGAGCACCTCTTTCTCCGGGATGCGCACACTCCCATCTTGCAGCTGCTGTCGGTAGGCTTCGGAGGCCTTCTTTACCGTTTGCCTTATACGGTACCGTCGGAAGGCCCTCTGGATGATCACAGATGACATCTCCTCCTGTTTCCTGCGGAGGGTTGTCGTGATGGGCTCGTACGAGACTTTAGAGGGATTGGAGGCCATGAAACGATCTTCCATCTGTCCCCTCAGGGCATCCATCTCACCCTCCTCTCCCAGTACCCTCAGGGTAAAGGCAAACAGGATGTCCAGGCAGTGGATGCGGTCGCCACTGACCATGGGCAGGTCCATGGCTATGAGCTGGATCTTGTTTGGCTTGGGGATACGTAACGGAGGATCCAGAGCGTCCGCAAAGTCAGAAAGCTTGTTGTACTCCACGAACTGCGTGGCGTTGGGGTCGAATCGCTCCCAGACTTCGTAGAACATTTCAAAGTCGTCCTCGCTCAGCGGTTCAGCGCTCTCCTCTGTGGCTACGCTGAAGTTCTCCAAGATCACAGCGATGTACATGTTCACCACAATCAGGAAGCAGATGATGATGTAGCTCACAAAGAAGAAGATGCCGACCGAGGGGTTTCCACAGTCGCCGCGGTACATGCTGCCCGGATGCTCCAATCGACTGTCGCAATCTGGATCTTGCTTGTTCAGGATGGGTGCCAGGAGGCCATCCCATCCTGCAGAAGTGGTAATCTGGAACAAGCAAAGCATTGAGTTCCCGAATGTCTCAAAGTTAAACAAATCATCAATCCCCGCCTCATGCTTCACATAAGCAAAGTTGGACATTGCAAAAATGGCATAGATAAACATGACCAGGAACAGGAGGAGGCCAATATTGAACAAGGCAGGAAGTGACATCATCAAGGCAAACAGGAGTGTACGAATGCCTTTGGCTCCTTTGATGAGACGAAGAATGCGACCGATTCTGGCAAGTCGGATGACTCGGAATAAGGTTGGCGATACAAAATATTTCTCGATCATCTCAGAGAGGAACATGCCTGACAAAAAAACAAAACACAAGTCCAATAAGTGATCCCAGTAATCTTCCACAATACCACAATATTTAAGCTTAAAGGTGAATTATGCTCAAAGCATACTCTACTCAAATATAGTATAGCATTCCCATTAGCCTAAAGTTTTTTGAGGCAATCATTCCAGGATTTTCTCCATATAGTGGACTTCAGTGGTGGCCAACGGCAGTTTCATTGCAGCTTCAAAGGGCTCTACACAATCCCAGCTGACGAATAAGGGTCTTATCTAGTGTAACGATTGGTCACTTTCTAAAAAGAATAAAAACGTATATACTTTTTAACCACAAATACTCGTCTTGCACTAGCTCAACTTCACGCATTACATAGTCACATTGGAAAGGTCACGCGTAGGTGGAAGTACCGACCCAGTGTTTACAAAGTGAATGTGCAAAGAAAGTCAAACGCCCTTTACAAAAAAAGGTAAAACAACAATGTTTTGAAGTTGGAGGAGAAAATGAGATGGAGTTTTTCACCCTACCCTACCTTTCTGAACCGGAGTACACAGACGAAGAGCTAACCGCACGTGACCTTTCCAACGCCATTACATAAATGTGTGAAGTCACGGACATGCATCGCAGAGCTAGTGCAAGACAAGCATTTGTGGTTAAAAAGTATATACATTTGTATTTTTTTTTTTAGAAAATGTCTGATTGTTTTGCTAGATAAGACCCTTATTCCTCTGCTACATTGACACTGCAGTTTGGACCTCCAACCCGTTAGGTCCCATTGAAGTCCACTATATGGAGACAAATCCTGGAATGTTTTCCTCAAAAACCTTAATTTTCGACTG